AGCTCAAAAACACCTAGAAAAACAGGCATTCTGACTGTGAGCAGGGTTGCCTCTTCACAGATCTGATTTGTAACTTGGTCTGGTTTGGTCTCTGTGAAAATAGAAAGAAGAAAATTCCAAACAAAACAGCATTTGATGGTCTCTCACCAGAAAATGTACTCGATGCACCTTTAATTAATCATAAATCCTAGAAAATTTTAAATTCCATTTTCGAAGTGCTGGTATCTTAATGTGGAATCTGGTATCTGTTTGCTGTGTAATTATGCAGATATATGCCACTGTGAAGATGTAAATGTCACAAAAATTCCATTTTCACTTAACAAAAAACCTGTTATATACTATAGGCTAAAAGGTGTATTAAAATTCAAGTTGGCCCCTCCTTTATAGATTATTCAGTGACTGCAAACTCTCGCATTGTGGTGGTGACGGCTGGGGTGCGTCAGCAGGAGGGAGAGAGCCGACTGAACCTGGTCCAAAGAAACGTGAACATCTTCAAACACATCATCCCTCAAATCGTCAGATACAGCCCTGACTGTATTATACTGGTGGTCTCCAACCCTGGTAATATTCAATACAAACTGAATCTGCCACGCTGTAAAAAAGAATGATATGCTGTATGTACGTAGTAGCATTTGTTACAATTGGCCAGTCAAGATTACATACTTCAATACAAATATACAGAATGGACCAGTCTTGTCCTGTGCTGAAATATATATTTTTTAAAAACAAAAAAAACTTTTCTTCACAGGCATGAAATAAGTATCGTTATGAGTCAGAAATCTTAAATAATAAATTTTGAATAATGTTTTTTGGTTCATCTCGTCATTTCCTTGTCATAGTATCTGAACTGTTCCTTTCCAGTTGATGTGTTGACATATGTTACGTGGAAGCTGAGTGGTCTCCCCATGCATCGAGTCATCGGCAGTGGCACAAATTTGGACTCTGCTCGCTTTCGTTATTTGATGGCTGACAAACTGGGCATTCACCCAAGCAGCTTCAATGGCTGGATCCTGGGAGAACATGGAGACACCAGTGGTAAGATATCACTTTGTTTTCACTTGGGAGAGATTATATACATGGATTTTAGCTTCCTGTTATATGCAAAGGTTTACACTCTTTGTTGCTCATTCTGCTATTATATGGGCTGCAGCAACAAAAAAGCTTCACAGCAGTTAATTTTTTTTTTGTCTATTTATGTTGGAGGAAATTGGAAGATGTTGGAATAGCAAATACATTAACACTGCTTTTGCAAAATGTAATGGACATTTACACAAGATCACACTGGAAATGCAGTATACCGTGTGCAGTATGTCTCTATATTCATACATTCTGTACTCTCTGAGGCCGTTCTCCTTGTTTGATTCATGTTTGAATTTCTATATTGAAAGTGACAGTGTTTGGGCCACAGTCTTTAGCCATGTGAGGACAGACCTGCAGTATTGAAATAACAAGATGAATTCACAGATCGTGTATTTTTGTGAATGAGAGCTGTGTCACGCGTTCTGAGAAAGAGCCTGAGGACTGTTTGAGCTGATGAGAACTAGTCCAAATTATTTGACCATCTGTGGTGCTAAAGCGATTTTAAAAAACTGTAAAAACACAGTATCATGTTTTTAACACCTGCTGTTAGGGGCTGGGCTATGTAGTTAATCCAATTTAATCACAATTTAGTTTTAGTCATTTCTGTTATTTCGTAATGTGTTTTAACAGTGCTCTGCCTGGGGGTACACACTGACACTGCTATGAAGTGACACTTGCACTCATCTTGTTCATCCTAATCAAGTGTATATTTAACAGTCTCCTTCCATATGCGTTAAACAGGCACACGTAACATGCAACATAATCAGTAAGCATATGTAATCTTTAAAACTTTTTTGTCACATCATTATCTTAGGCTGTGATGGCATAATGATACTTTTGATATTTAAACACAATATCACATTGAACACCTATTGTTAGGAGCTGGGCTATGCTATTAAATCCACTTTTAATTGAGACTGTTAATATAGGACTCTGTATCTGCATGTGGTTTTAGCAGAGATTTAGTTTTGAATGGCTTCTCTTCTGAAATTATTTTTTAATAACACAAAATAAAATAAATTAAAAAAAATTAAAAAAAAATTATATATATATATATATATATATATATATATATATATATATATATATATATATATATATATATATATATATATATATATATATATTATATATATATAATATTATTAATTATTATTATTATTTTTATTTTATTTTTGTGGCATATTGCCCAACCTTATTTGTTGTAGTAAATAATAATACAGTTATGTGTCTCTAGTTCCTGTCTGGAGTGGGGCAAATGTGGCTGGAGTCAGTCTACAGACACTGAACCCAAACATTGGCACTGAAGAGGATGAGGAGAACTGGAAAGAGACTCACAAAATGGTGGTGGACAGGTGAGCTAGGTCTTATCTGTTATTTCTGAATTTTCTCCACTTATGTTGTGTCTTGTCTTTCAGTGCGTATGAAGTGATTAAACTGAAGGGATACACAAACTGGGCCATTGGTCTGAGTGTGGCCGACCTCACAGAAAGCATTATGAGGAACATGAACCGAATCCACCCAGTCTCCACCATGGTCCAGGTACAACTCTGCACACTTTAGCAAGTACCCTACCCACTTTAATGTGTATGGCAGATATATAGAAATAATTACGTATTTTTTGAATGTTAACTAGTATAATAAGACAGTGAACACAATATAAAGACAGGCCATGGTAATTACTTTATCGATTCAATATATACTATTATTCAATATATGAAAACTGGAACAATATATTTTGTGACTCAATATTTGTGTGTACATTTTCTGTGCAAAAGTGGTGAGATTTGTGTTATAATATTTGAGCTGTAGTGGGTTGAAAAAGTGACTTAAAAATCTGACAATTATTGATTCATTCTGTTATCTATTTGTTGTAGCTCATTGGTTTTAAATAATATGTATTTTATAATACTATACTAGTCTATTAAAAATGTATAAAGTACTTTCATATTATTGTTTATTGTAATATTTCTCTGTAGCAACATATCGTGCTTTAAAATTTGTTATTGTGACAGGCCTCTGTGAAGATGAATTATAGTTATTGGCCGTTTTCTGTAATTCTGTTCAATGATTAAGCCCTTTTCACAGGAACAGTAATTACCATTTTCAATCAAGGATCATGAATAAAATAGCTGCACTGAAATGAGGAAATGTATTTATCGAGGATGCTTGAATTTGCCTAAGATTTCCTGTTATTATCTAGTTTTAGATGTGAAGCTGATTTTTGTAGGTAAGGATCATTGTTCAGGCCTGTCTTTACACGCTTCACCTTGGGGTTTTTTTATGATCTGGTCCATTTACATTGCATCATTTCATTGTTTCTGCCCTTTCACCTTATTTGCATTGACTGTTGGCCCGGCTTTGTGCAGGGCATGTATGGGATAGGTGAGGAGGTGTACCTGAGCCTGCCCTGTGTCCTGAATGGAGGGGGCGTGTCCAGTGTGGTGAATATGACTCTGACACAGGAGGAAGTGGGTCAGCTGCAGGACAGTGCCAGCACCCTGTGGGACATCCAGAAAGACCTGAAGGACCTCTGAATGGACAGTAGGGGGCAATATGTTCCACATCTCTTTAAAAAGGCTCTTCATCTCCTGTCATAGCTGTCTATAGAGTCTCAGCTACAGTTGGTGTGTATTCATTTGACCATTTAACTCTATAGCATATGGCTTTCATCACAGCATCAAGGTATTCTTTCTATGTAACAAAACATTGAATAACACTAATAACACTACATTAAATAATAATATGTATCTTAAAATAATGTGGAGAATATAAAATGCACGTCTTGTATTTTGTGATCCAAAAATTCTGAATTATATAGAGCTATCTTAATAACTATAATGTATCCTAATTTATTATGTTATTTATTTTATTGTTGTCTGACTAAACTCAAATCATGTTTTTGTAATTTTACTCATCCATTAATTTGAAATATATTGTTAATATTGTGTGCCATGTGTTCTCTCCTTTTGTTCAAATATACATGTCTCTATAAATGCTCTATTTTCTAAAGTAATATATAAGAGTTTATAAACAACAGTATATTCCCTTGTCATTAACTAGATATTAAATCTAGCCCACCTCTGGATATCTCTGTTGTAGCTGTGCCCCTCTTTTACTCATTAGCAATAAGCTTAAATCAACAGTATATTAAACAAATCAGTCAGTGTTTTCCCACAAATTTCTCATGAGACTATAGTTATTTGTATTCATTGAAAAAACATTTATATAAATATTTCATGGAGTAAAAATGTAACTTAATGCATTTATTCCATGTTAAAACAAAGAAAATCAAAAGAAATGTATATACCACCATAATCTCTTCTTTTTATAGAAACACTGCACTGTTTTTGTTCATCTTTTACGTATCACGTATATCCATTAACAGATAAAAGTCTATTTCCAAGCACAAATAAGTTATGAGTTAACTCCTGTTTTCTTATTTGTCGACCTGCGTTTGACCCAACACACCTCCCACAAAGTGATGATGCCTGAATGATGTTCAGTGCGTCACTAATCACTACAATGTGTGAACAAGCTCATTAATGCCACAAGGAAATATATTTCATTGACTTTACTCCATTGAAAAATAAAAGCTATTTGTGTCTCATTAAACCCAGTGAGAAGCAAGGTGGAGTTTATTCTCAAGAAACATACTTAATTTACACTGAGTTTTGTAAAGGAACAAACAGCAGTTACAGTGAATCGTGGAGATAGTCATATGGATCAATGCCACCTGAAAGAAAAAAATCTTTTAATTTCCTTTTCTTTCTTTTGATACGTTATTATTATTATTATTATTTTATTTATTTTTTTTACCTTGTTCAATCATTCTCAGGAGATTGAATATTCTAGGTGAGATCCTCAGTTCATCATCATTGCTTTCACGGTACATCACTACAAAAATATCAGACGTTAAAAAAACTATAATTTTTCATAACACTTACAACGCCTACTGAGGTGCTGACTGCTGGGAAATTACATATTGAACTGTGAGGCTGTGATTTAAATTGGAAAAGTAATTATTGAATCTAAAATCCTATTAACCACAAGCATTTATTTAAACATCAATAAATAAATTATTCACATTTAATTAAGATAATATTGTTCAGAACTCACCATCAGGTAAAGCGGCTGCATTGTTACTCCTACGCTCCACAACTGAACGATGTCTCTCTGAACAGACATAAGTTACATTACATTATTTATTATTATTGATGCACTGAACTGATGTAATTTACTTTTGCTGTATAGACGTACGTGCTCCTTTTAAATATAACATAGCCTGAGGGGTCCAGTTCCTCCTCTGGAAAAAAAAATCAACATTGCATTGAAGTTTTAGTGGTAATAAATATACATTGTAATAAAATGCATTAAACCTACATATGGTGCAGTCCAACATTGGCAAACCAGTGACAACACAAGCACCGCAATGAAAGCCATCACTGGAGTCTGTACAAAAAATGTTTACACTATTTCATTTAAAGATGCTTTATGTAACTTTTCTGTCAGAGGGTCCATCACCTGCTTGTTTCTATGGATATGTCATTGCTCTGCCTGGAATGTTCCATAGTATGACATTAAACAGTTCTACTTTACATTTATTAAATTACAGGTGGTTTTGCTGCTCAAAAATACCTAGAAAAACAGGCATTCTGACTGTGAGGGGGTTGCCTCTCCACAGATCTGACCTGTAACTAGGTCTGGTTTGGATTCCATGAAGATAAAAAGTTACCATACTGTGGAACACTCCAGGTTAAGCAATAATATTTCCATAGAGAAAAGCGTTTGATGAACCCTCCGCCAGAAAAGTTACACAGTGCACCTTTAATGCAAATAACATAACCAAAATCACAAGCAATTAAATCATGTTAGCAATTTTTAGATCAAATACACTGAGGCATTCTTACAGCATCAAAAGGCAAACCAAAAGTAAATCAAGTTGAAAATCTAAATTACATCAGATTAAAGGTCTTCCAATTAAAATAATGATACATTTAAACTTACTTGTTGTGGCTGATCCCGTTACTGTGTTTTCTCAGTCCCTTGTTATCAATAAGCTTTCTCCGAGTACGTTACTCTTATAAAGCTCTAACGATGGCGATGACAGGTCATTTGCAACATTTTCTTTGCAGGGTGTTAAAATGTCACCTCTAATGTGTCACAGAGGGAGCCACCCACCACAGCTAAACACGGTAATTTAAGTGTATTATTTTTATTGTATTATTATATTATGTGCCATGAAACTTAGTGTTTTTCTATATTATCCATATCCCCTCCCACAATCATATGTTTGTTGCATTTACTCACATAGTAATAACACATGACTAAAAAGTTCACACACTTTATTCCAAGTATGTATTTACAAAAGTTACAGTAAAATGTTCAACTTGACCTCCTATGTATTTTATGCTCAAGCAACATTTAGCTTGTTATTTTATTTTATACATTATTTTAGTAACAACAGACAGAGTGAGCCAGTCCATTGGGGAGTGCGTACTGTAACAGTTCACCCAGTGGTCCATGGGCAGCAGTCTTTAAATAACAACAAACTGGAATGAAACAAAAGCATGTTTCCAGTCTTTCAAAATAAAAATGTATGATGTTATCCAGTGGCAAAGCGTAGAACTCTCCTTTCACAGAAGAAGCCAAAATACTTATCAAATGTCTCTGAATTAATATTTTTCAACATCTTCTGTGCTCTTTTAACTGAGTGGCAATGACCAAAGTTTAAGGTCCCAGTTTGAAAAATCCTCAAAAATAAGGCAGCTGTTATACCATGGCATTGCTCTCTCCAATCTTGTCAACGAGCTGCAAAAAGCACAAAGAAAACATTTGTAAAAGTTATAATGTATTATGTAAATAGAGTAAAGCACGGAAAATAGAAGTTACATTAACAAGGATCTTTTTTATTTTGTTATATTACGCATCCCATTAGCAACTTTGAGCTTGTGAACTACTTTTATAGCCCCAGCTGCCCAAGAGCAGATGGAAATGTGTCTGCTATTCAACCCTTCTCACACCTCAGGCATGGGGTGTCTATCACAGTAACACACACTTTCAAGGAGGGAAAAGTGTCTTGCTCAAAGACACATCCAGATACAGACTATATATTTTATGCATGGAAAATTATTTGAAAAATGACAGAGGGATACTGATCTGATGATAACTGCAGCTCTTGAATTCAACATACCTTACTCATATTATGACCCACCATGCGCAATGAATAGCCTCAAACGATACTTTAAACAATATAACAATACTGGAAGTTGAAATGGATTCCCTTAACTTTAATGTATTAAAATTCCAGACATTTTGAGGACACATGGTAATGCGCTATTGCCATTAATTTAATGTTTAAAGTGGCAATTGTGCAAATAGTTACAATTGCAACTGTTCTAAATTAATATGCACCGAATTTCACAGGATTTTCAATATTTCTTTACTTAAATTCTTTCATGGCTATGGTGACAGGCATTTATAAAGTGGATATTTTCTATATAATACTTACAGAGCGTATTCCTGGTAAACTAAGCAGAGATCCAAGAACAGGGATTCGTCTGATAAAGCCCACAGCCACCGGGAAGAATCCCCTGTAGGAAACATGAGAGATGCCAAGATAAAAATAGACACTGGGTTTACAACAGAATTGGCTCTTTGTGATTAACTTGTGGCTGAACTGACCTAAACAAGAGAAAGAAACCGTATATCTCCAGTACTACGCCAACAATGGGCCAGCCAATCAGCACCACAAACACTCCTCCCAGGAAGAAACTAGTGGCTTTCGCTTTGTGTCTCTGGAAAAAGAATCTGAAGGTCCGCTCCAGACCAATGACAAAGGAAAGGCCTGAGACAAACAGGATCTGGAAAGGCAAAAAGATTAGTCACTAAAAGTACATAGATGGATGTACTGTCATGTACTGAACAGAATGATCAACATACATTTCCAATAGCTAGAAGAGCTTTATCAAAAAACAGCATCATCCCAAAGAAGAGGAAGAATACACCAAACCCTGTCAACCCCATCCCAATTTCTGTGGACAAACAGTAAAAATATTAAGTTAAAACATTTATAAACCTGTTGTGCACATATATAATACACTAAAACAGAAAGGCCTTGTATCATGTGATTAGGTAAATGCCTTTTTTATCACTGAGGCTGTAAAGCATGCTGAAAAAATGTACAATATGAACGAATATTTATAGCGTTAAACATATGGAAGTGATCTGTTAGAAGACCATGCCACAATCGTAATGGTGCCACTCTTTTAAAGTACAGTACAGTTCACGTGGACTCAAAGTGCCCAAAACAAGAGCATGATTAAAATCAAAGGCTAAATAAAGAAGATGATAAAGGAGCTTAATTTTAGAGTGACGTTGTACTAGGTGACGTTGAAGTTGTGCAGCCAATTGTGTGGAGGCTAAAAGCCCATACATTCGTTTTTTAAAAAGAAGCTAAAGACAAAGAGCCGCGACACAGCGGGAATATTCTTACTTTGCGAGTCCGTGAGTGAAATCATTTTGGCAGCGGACCAGGACAATGTTTCTGAATCAAATATGGCCCGTAAAAACTAGAAAACGGCTTTAATGGCTAAACTGTTGATGCTGTAGCTGCTGCGAAGGCAGAGCTAGCGGTTTACGTGTGTTACGTACGCACGGTACGCACGATACGCAACGCCACGTCTCCCCAGCCACGTCCTCTGCCAAAGATCCTCGAAGTGAAGATGGCCAACTCTGTGCCAGAATGGTTCAAGCAGCTGCTGTTCACACCATAGATCTATAGACTCAGGTTTACAAATGGATCTAGTTCTATGTGTTCACAGTTGCTTGGAAAAAAAGAACAAGTTTATGAACAGATCCAATTAAAATTTATTTTCTGCGTTTTCTGTATTGCTATACGACCAATAAACCCTTACATAATTTGTAAGCAGACAGACTGAGGCCTCTTTTTTCATTTCTGCAAACCTCTCTCTCGCGCCGTGTGTCGCTGTGGTGTTTTACTACAACTCCCATGAGCAGCCGATGCGGAAGTTTGGATTCCCGGTCGGACGTGTTTAATCTGAATCAAACAAACTGCAGCTGATGTGCAAGTATGCACATGAAAAGATTCAGGTTAATAAAGTGACGGTTCTTCCCTCAAGAAATTTAATCGGCAACCGACATGGGGACGGCCTTTGCGATCGCTTTAGTATTTATTGGATGTTGTAGTAATGTTGTTTTTCTGGAGCTGCTCGTAAGGTCAGTGACAAACTTAGAACTGTGGTATTTTCCCCTATGGCTCTTAAATATCCACAGGTTTCAGCAGCTGCGGCCTAGTTTTCTTTTACTATAATCTATTATCTATTTCTATAGGCCATTGGCTCTTTATAGTCTTCAGCTTTCTATAATCTATAGCTTTCATGCAATGATATAAGCTTCAATAAAGTTGCATGCTATTTTTGTTATCATATTTGTTATCATATTAACTTTTTATTTTTTCAGAGATTTCCCAGGATGCGGTAATATTGTCACTTTTGCACAGTTTCTGTTTATTGCTGTGGAAGGTTTTATCTTTGAAAGTAAATTTGGTCGGAAAAAACCTGCTATCCCTATGAGGTAAACTGTACTTACAATGTTTTATTCATCTACAACATTCATTCATTTATTGTCAGGATGCAAGAAAATTATTATTTATCGTTTTTTCCAGCAACTATGTTATTATGGTAACTATGTTCTTCTTTGTGAGTGTGGTGAACAACTATGCACTGAACTTCAATATTGCCATGCCGCTGCACATGATCTTTAGATCTGTGAGTTTCAGCACTTTTTATCTTGAGAATATTATCTCTCTTTTTCTTTTTTTCTTGCGTTCTTCTCCCACTATTGCTGCAGTAGCCTTATTGCACCATATTCTTTTTGCAGGGGTCACTTATTGCAAATATGATCCTGGGTATAATTATCCTGAAGAAAAGGTGCCTCAAATGATTCACATTCTCATTTTCACAAGGTCAAATTTTAACTAATGTTCTGTAAATAACTATGTAATAACACATTTTTTAGGTATTCTGCCAGCAAATATCTTTCTATAGTACTGGTATCCATTGGCATTTTCATATGCACAATAATGTCAGCTAAACAAGTGGTAAGTAGGTTTTTCCATCAACTGTCATCTTTTTCTTTCTTCTTAGTTGAATATTATTTTGTTTATTTTCATTGCAGCAGAACAGTGCCAATGAGGGATCAGAAGAAGTAGGAGTTTATGCATTTGTTCACTGGCTCATAGGTATGTGTTACTATTTAATAGCCAATGTAAGAAAAAAAATCACTTTGGATCTTTACATTGGAGTATTGCATGTTTGAATAGAATTTAGTTTTTATTGCACAATTACACATTTATCTATGGATTTTAATGTATTCCTGTATTGTTTGTTTAGTTTTTAAATAAAGACAATTAAGGCCTATGACATTTGAAGGCATTTGGTTTTAGAAATGTATCATTTTATATTTTAGGCATTGCAATGCTGACGTTTGCTCTGCTCATGTCTGCAAGGATGGGTATTTTTCAAGAGACTTTGTATAAAAAATACGGAAAACACTCCAAAGAGGCCCTGTTTTATAATGTAAGATTCCGCTGTAAGATTGTTAACATTTGTGACCTTGTGTGTATAAGCTTGTTTACTGTTTCCTCAGCACTGCCTGCCCCTTCCCGGCTTTCTGCTGTTCTCCACCAACATCTACAGACACTCCATTTATTTTAGCCAGAGCTGTATGTAATAGTTTCTTGTGAATTGAACATTTACACTTTCATGCCTACTAAAATATTTGTTCTCTTTTTAGCTCCCATGACAGTTCCACTTGTTGGACTGACTGTGCCTATAATGTGGTTTTACCTATTTATGAACGTCATCACACAGTATCCTTTAAAATATATATACATAGTACCAAAATCATTACAATATTTCACCAATTAGTTTTTTTGTGTATGTGTAATTTACCAAACCAAAACATTATATTTTTGTATGTAAAAAACACATGTTTCTAATTGGTTTATTATCTGTTTACTTTCTAGTTTATCATCATTATTTCTACACCATGACAACACATGCATATTTGTATGTTTGGTCATATTAGAACATACCAATCAGAAACATTTTAATAGGTTTGGTACTTATACAGAGACTTTCAATATAGAGATGTGTATCTGCGTAGTCACTGAATAACTATTATTACCAACCAACAATGTAAACAGAGCAATTAAACATAATAATGAAAAAATAACAACATTTTTAATGCGCATCTAACTGCAGCTGTGATGAATTGGAAACTTGGGAGGCACATCTCAGAATGTAGGATTCTAAACTATATGTTGCTTTTTATGTTGTATGTTAAATACTATTACCCAGTTCTAGTTCTAATTTACCTGGTAACACAATATTAATTATAAAGTCAATATTGTGAAAATAACTTTAACCAGCTCTTTCAGATACGTGTGCATTCGTGGTGTCTTCATCTTGACCACAGAGTGCGCGTCACTCACGGTCACTTTGGTCGTGACATTGAGAAAGTTTTTGAGCCTCATCTTCTCCATTATTTACTTCCAAAACCCCTTCACTGTGTGGCACTGGGTTGGCACAACTGTGGTCTTTGTGGGCACCCTTCTGTATACAGAGGTCCTGAGCAGTTTGTACACAGCCCTACTTGGACCACCTGCCAAAGAAAAGAAAAAGGAGTGAAAGATGAAATGGTTTGAACAAATACTCCTGTACAGATTTAGGAATAGGTTTAGTATTCAATTTTTAGACGATCATTCAAATTTGGTATCAAATAATGCACTGGAATGAAACACCTCCTTTTGTTTTTCTTTTCCACAGTTGACGATGTTATGCAATTTCATTATGTTCTGGTTGTTTTAGCAAGCACTTACAAGTTGTATATGGCATTTCTTATATTATTTTAGCAAATTTCAAGCAAATAATAATAATAATTTTAAGCATTTTATTTATTTTTCACATTTAATGCAGTACTCAATGCAGATAAAATGTGAAATTTGAAACTTGAATATTGATAAGAGATGTGTTGAGTCTCTCAGCCTTTTTTGACTAGTTTGAGAAGTGTCTGTAAAGTCACTTGTTTGTAAATAAAAAGATATGGGCGATTTGAAGATCAAATGAATTTGTTTGTGGGTAATTGGCATGTGCATTATGGCTCTTTTTATTACACAAAAGACCTAACCTCTAAAACTAATCTACTAGATGTCTTCATTGCAATTATTTGGAGTAGTGTATATAGGCTAGTAGTATATAGACTATTTCCTCAGCCAATGTTTTAGAGCACATATAACTTTAAAAAACAATAACCTAGACCTTCATGATATAATTTGTGTGTATGAGACTAGTTATTTTCTTTTATTAGGCTAATATTCCTATCTGGGACATTATGTTCTCTCACACTTGGCAAATTAATCTACATTATCCAATCAGAAAAGGTGTTGTTGAGCTTCAGCCAATGGAAGCAGCCGTTGTTGCAGCATGGGTGGGCGGGGCAGGCTTTTGCAGCTTGATATCACTGGGCTTACACTGGTTGATAGACGCACGTTGTAGATTTAATAATTTCCAATAATTTGTTTGCATTTTGCGGTGACACTCCGGCCGGATGGGGGGAAACGGCCCGAGTCACTTTGCTACGGGAGAAGAAGAAGGTGGAGTGACTTTTGTGAAGGGCATTCGGGTGAGTAAAAGAGAAGCCTGCAAACTTATTATGGAGCGACAGTAACACAAGAGTGCACCATAGTAATATGAGAAATAGCCTTTTCTGCACGTGGGTAAATCAATACTGTGATGGTTTGTGCCAACTGTCTCAACTATATCCAGCGGCATGTCCTACAATTATAAAATCATAATAGAAAGCACGTGTCTCTGGTATTTAAACTAGAGATGATGATGATGATAATATGATAATCATAAAGTAATAGTTATAGTAACGCCTATAGTAAAGCTTGCTGTGGTCTTTTCAGATTGTTCTTGGCTCAAATTATTTTCAGTTCACCTTTGCAACTTTCCTTCCCCACGTGACCCTAAACAAAAGGCAAAACGTATTACCAAACTACCAAACCTGACAAATAGCAGTATGGTATATAAGGTAGGTTATGCATTGATTTGGGGAAATAATCACACTGACAACTTCTGTATAAATGCAGTCAAATATTTTATAAAATCCCCATGATGAGCTTTACAAAGAGTATATTTTGTTGCGGTGTTGATGGTGTGTTTCTTGGAATTTAGTAAGCTCTGTATTATGACATTTCCTATGCTGTGATAAACCTGAACCAAAAATGCATCACCACACAGATGGCCACTGTCTATTTTGAGCATTTATATAAGATCATTATTGTTTACACTAAAAAGTAACCCTTAACATTATAACATAGGTCAGAAAATAGCTTTATATGGGCTTTTTAAATGATGTTTCCTCATCAAAAAAGTTTTTTTAACACACAAACCCTGCATATTTAGGCTGAGTTCTTCTCTCTAATCCAAAAAGCACTCTGTTCCACCTTGTGATGTCATGTGGTTATACAGGAAGTGCTCAACTATGTTTTTAATCTCCATACATCTTCACTAGAATCTTTTGGACAATTTCAGATCTGAGATTGTCAGTGTCTACTGAACTAACAGTAAAAGGAAGCTGTTACATTGAAAACTACCAGTGCATGACATCACAAGGTGGAAAAGAGTTGTTTGAGCTTCGGCGATGTAAACAGACTAATAATAAAGGATTACTCAAATGTGTGAAAGAAACAAACATAACTTCAAGTGATGAGGTAACAGTCTTATAGCATGTCTGAAAGCTTGTATGAGTCAATTTTGTGTAATATAGGATCTTTGACATAAAACAGACATGATATGACTGACTGAATATTGTTTGAGCCCCAATATCATGTTACTAACTTTTTTCCTATAGCTTTCAGACCGAGTCATACACCGAATGCGGCAGCCTTCAAAGGCTCCTCCATCTACAGAGGGCGAACCATCTACTGCTAAATCTGAAACTCCTCCCTCAGTCCAGGATCTGCTCCCACTCCTGACCCCCTCACCCCCTCAGGATGTCCCAACTACAGTTGCTCCATCACTGGACACTGCACCACCACAACCACCACCTGTTAAGCTAGTCCCACCTCCACCTGTAAAGTTTCACTCTCTTCCCCCTCCTAGTGTAGAGGCCACACCCGAACCCAAAGCCACACCCACAACTGAACCCTCCCCACCTGCAGCCATAGAAACGCCTGTAGATCTACCTCCACTGGCTGCTGACCCGGGACCAACTCCTCCACCACCAATAATTGAATCTCCTCCAGTTCCTGTCATTGAATCTATTGTGGAGTCAACCCCAACTCCAGAGCTTGCAGCCCCACTTCCTAGCATTACTGAGCCAGTTTCACCAACTTGTAATGAGGAACAAACTTGTCCCATTCCTGTAACAAAAATAGAAGATGTACCTTCACCACTGATTCCACCACCTGTTATGGAGCTGCCTCCCCCTTCCCAAGTTGTTGAACCAGAAACCCCCTCTTTCCCACTTGTGGCTGAACCAACTCCTCAGATCACTGTTCTGTCTCCACCTGTAGAACTTGCTCCTTCCATTGAGCCAGCTATTGTCACCCCACCTTGTGATCATTTGACTCCTCCCCCAGAGCCAATGCCTGTTGAATCAGTTGTTGTTGCTCCTCTCATTGAATGTACACCAGTTTTAGCCCCACCCACTGAACCCATACCTCTTGAGCCAGTCACTTTAGCATCGCCTCCTGAATCAACACTTTCAGAGCCAATTGTTTTACCTGTAGATACTTCATCTGTCGAAGCAGAAGTCATAGCTCCGCCCCCTGAGCTTACACTGCCAGCAGTTTTAGCTCCACCCACTGACTTTGCACCTATCTTGATTTCTGAAACCGAACCCACACTTGTTGAACCAGCCATTTTAGCTCCAACTATTGAGGCTACACCTATATTAGCCCTGCCCCCTGAGCTTACACTTGATGAACCAATTGTTTTAGCCGAAACCCCTGAATCAGCCCCAATTTTAGCTGCTTCCATTGATAATACCTCTGCTTTAGCCCCACCTCTTGAGTTCACACCTGTTGAACCTGTTGAACCTGTAATTTTGGCTCCGGTCATTGAAATGACACCTGTTGAACCAGTAGTTTTAACTACTCCTGAACCTGCAATTGTCGAACCAGTCACTTTGGCTCCTCCCACTGAGCTTCCACCTGTCGAGCCAGTCATCATAACCCCACCCATTGATGCCGCTTCTCTTTTAAGCCCACCCTCTGATTCCACTCCCCTTTTAACTCCACCCACTGATGACACTCCCCTTTTAAGCCCACCCTCTGATGCCACTCCCTTTTTAACCACACCCCCTGAAGCCTCACCCCTTTTAACTACACCCACTGAAGCCACAGCCCTTTTAACTCCACCCACTGAAGACACAGCCCTTTTAACCCCACCCACTGAAGACACACCCCTTTTTACCACACCTCCTGAACCAGCACTTGTTGAAATTGTGGCTTTAGCTCCTGCCGTAGAACCTACACCTGTTGAACCATCCGTTATAGCCCCATCCTCTGAACCCGTTTCCCCAGTTACTGCTGATGTCCCACTCACTCCTGTTGAGACAATTGAAGTTGAGCTTGTACCACCATCTGCCGAGATGACTTCTGAACCTGTTGTTCCATCTGTCACTATTGAAGAAAAACCCTCTCTGTTGTCTGTTGAATCTCCACCTGAATCTCCATCTGAGTCTGCTCCTCCAGTGGAAGTAGCCATAGTACCATCAGAATCCACTGCAGATGCATCAGCACCACCCTCTGAACAGGCCACTGAGATCCTAGCTTCACCCACTCCTACTGAAAAAGTTCAGATTGTCACTGCAGAGCCCCCAGGTTTGACTCCACTTACTTCACAATCATGATTTGAATAATAATATTGAAAAGTACAAAAACATCCTTGATCTAATGTATATGATCTGATGCATATTTCATTAATTGCTTTTTGTCTCGCTTCGAAAAATAACTAAGGAATAAACAAAATACATAATAATACAAATATATTTGACTGGATGCATTGTGTTGACTGTCAAATTTTGTATTTTAGCCCTGTATTCATAAGTGTAATTTTTTACTCTCCCTAAAGCTGAGCTGGTCCCTCCTGAAGTGGTCGAGGATAGGCTGAGGCAGAAGATTAAAGCTGAGTTGGAGTTGACTTTGGAGGAAGAGATTGCCAAGAGAAGACAAGTGCTGCAGAAACAGTGAGTTTAGAAATATAATGCTGTATAAACCGATATAAGCCCCTCAACATAAGTGCTATGGTAATGTGCATATTTTTTATGTTTTAATGTATTCTTAAAGGTTGGAGGAGTTGAGAGCGATCGCCATAGCTGAAGCAGAGGCAGCTGCACAGGCCCAGGTGGAGCAGCAGGTGAAAGAGACACTGGAGGCAGAGAAATCAGCATACATGGAGCAGCTTACCCAGTCCATCACCAAGGAGCGCATGAAGACAGAAGATGAGAAATTGATGGTGCAGCTTTATGTGAGCATCCAGCTACACAACTGCATGTATTTGTGCAAGGATCTCTCAGATACATTACACATGACAATAGTCTCCCCTCTCTGATCGTTCCTTTTTCTCTCTCTTGCTTGTTGTGGCTTCTTTCAGTGGCTGGAACTTAAGGTAAGGCTGGTATTATCATTGCATGGGGTTTCTATCTTCTTTACCTTCTCTCCAACTGCTGCAATGTTGTTGGGTTGAAGTAGATGGTTTTTAAACAATGCTCTCCTGATTTCTTGATCTTTATGTATTTCTTGGTCTCACACAGGCTCATAAACTGGAGCTAAGAGAGGAGGAGATGAGGAAGCGTGACGCTCTCTACAAGGAACATATTGCAAAATTAGAATCAAAGGTATGCATACATTTGTTATATAGTTATCTAAGGATGGGTTTGGAATTGTGCCGTTCTCAAAATTCCACTTATTTATCCTTGGCCCTGGGTATTACAGCATATAATGTATCTATATATCTATTTTTCTTATCTATTTTATTTTTTTGCTAAATTACAAATTAAATAGCATCTGTAACATTCACTTCAAGGGGTAATAGGTCCACAGTTTCCAGCCATGATGGGCTTTAATCATTTAAGTCTGTACAATGATTATTATTTAAATGTATTATTAATTAAATTTATTTTATCAAATGAAATGTCTATATTAACATGTATTTCTTTTAGTGTGCTCAATTTTACAAAGTGACAGGTGACAGTTTCCAGAAAAGCAAAGAAGAGACACTCAATCGGTTTGCGTAAGTTATACAATAGCACTGGTCAAATGGAACAAGATTCTTGCATACTGTAGATTTTGAAGCTGTGTCTTTTTTTCAGTCGTTTTAATATCCAGCCGGTGTGTGGAGATCTACAGAGTCAGATCCTGAAGTGTTATCAAGAAAACCCAGGGAAGACTCTGTCCTGCTCTGGTATTGCCTCTGCTTACATGCAGTGTGTGAACAAAGCCAAGGTGGTGAGTTACTTTTGCACCTATATTACGAATGTTGCTGTGGACGCCGCCATCGTCATTTTGGTTGTATTCATTTGCATGAGGTTGCTGATCTTGACAACAAATAAGTTCCATACAGACTACAAATTCATTTGAAAGCCTCCCAGAGAATCGGTGCTATGGGGACTTCTTGGTGTACATATGAACATTGAAAATTGAACGCAAATCAACCTACTTTAGATCATATTTTAGTGCCAAAACTTTTCTTAAACTCTCAATTTAAATGAATGAATGAAACCTGCTTAACTGAAACTGCCACCACATAGTACGTGCTGTTTAGAGGCAAAAGTGGGCAGCTTAAAATAACGTCAATATATCTACTAGTACAGCATTACTATAAGTAATAGTAGCAGAAAGTTGCAAAAATAGTGTAATAATAAAAGTGCTATATTTTCTACTGCCAATAAAACTTTGCAATTGTCTTTTATAGAAATTCTTATCTTAGCATGTATATTCTAATTTTAATGTTGAAGCTATCTGGCAAAAGTAGAATTTTCTTTATCTTAAATAGTGTGACCTCAACATATTCACCTTCCTGCAACAAATGTGGGATCCAAAGCACTGGATGAAAATTACACTAGTGAATGCAGCAACAAGACTTTAAACTGGTCAAAATTAATTGGAAAAAGTGTTATTTTGTGTTCATTGTAATATTTATTATTGCCTCTGTCTTGTCAGGATAACATGAGCACCAGAGGTTGAGATGACAAGATGAAGATTGTACAAGTACTGCTCTTTTTCTATGAAGTTGGATATTACACAAATTGGGTATAACCAGGGACAAGGAAAGACAGATCACAATGGAACTTGCAAATGGATAGGGACAACAGCCAGTGACCATTTAGTTTTGGAGACTGGAAAATTTGCATAAGCTTTTAGTTGTATGAGATATAGGGCATAATGTGATACCAGACAATTGAATTTGAGAGTGTCTATGCTGTGACCAATCATAGGTAAGTGGTCATTATTATTCCTGGTTGATGCATATATTCACTACAGCTGAAATACTGGGCACTGCTTTAAGACACGCTTACTGTGAAAAACCCTTGGTTTACCTACACTTACACTTTCCACAACCAACTGTGCCAAAACCAGATAAAATGTCAACAATTCAACAGTGCTGTATCTTTTCCTAAATGGAAATGTAGGAGTTTTATTTAGTTAGAATGCACTTATTGTTTGTGTGATGGATTGTTTTAATGTGTGCCTTAGTGTCACTATCATTGTACATGTATCAATGGTTGATAGACACACAGGAATAACGCAGCAAGGTTTTGGGTTTCATTTAAATTATTGTGTGAAGATGAGACTACCTTTTTAAAGAGAATGGTGCATGGATAAATTACCTCAATAAAAATGTTTTACTTGACCACATAATTCCTGTGGTATTTTCTTTTTAAGTTTGCAAACCTATAACTTAAGACATGAATAAAAAAGCCAAACAGATTGAAAACAGTATCTTACTAAACTGGTCAATTGATTACTGAATTGCTGCCCTCTGGTGGCTGTAAAGGGTGCCTGCAGATTTCTGAGCAATTTGCAATACAATGCTACGTGAATATAGCGCCCAAAATTTTATAAACAGAAAAGAGAAAATGCTTAATAACTATGATGCAAAACAAATAGGCTTAACTGGCCAAACAGAATAAACAATTTGCCATACTGGACGCGTACAAGTGTACAAACAAAATATATGTATGTAGCCTATGTTTTGTTTTTTTGTTTTTTTCTCTTTCATAAAGAGTTTAAATGCTGAAAAATGTCATTCAGACATGTTATGCTATGGGTTTCCAGAATACCAAATATCTACGTACTAAAATATGTAAATGAATAGTCATTTATTTCTTAAATATGTCCTAACACTGGGGGAATAAAGTATGAATATACCAGAACATTTATTAACATAACTCAGGCTGCTGAGTGAGAGATCAAATATCAAAGACTGAGACTGAACTGACTCACTCTGTGTTTTTCCTCTGTTCCTCTGTGTCATCTGTCACTGATCGAGCAGCTTCATCGTGACTTTCTGTTCAAAGAGAGTATTGATGACAAACTCTAAAGGAATGAACAGTGCGGCGCCCTACCACAGCACACATAGGCTACAGTGTGAACTCAGCTACTGCAGAAAAGAGCTGTGTGGCTCATGATTGCTAGGTAAGGCATTGCTCCTTCCAGTAGTAGTTTTAGTACTTTTTATAATCTTATCTTCAATATATGTACGGTAGTCCTTTAGATGAATTAGTAGTAACTTCTGTTATTCGTGTTTTATGTTTTATTTAAACACTGAAGTGAGTTGTATGTTACGTAATCTCATTAAAGTGCAGGCGACTGAGGACAACCCAGTCGCTGTACACTGCTGTAGGTGTCCTTCAGTCTGTTCTCACATCATTATGTCCGTGTATAGGCCTATATATCTTTGTGTAGAAGCACTTCACTTTGTATTTAATGCTTCTTGATATGAAAAGGAAAACTTTCAAAAGAAGTTTACTTGATCTGGTGTAGTTGACAATAATTTTATCAGTGATTATATTACAAAACTAGAACTTGTTAAAATAAACTAGAAGTACAACAACAAAATCATCAGTTAATAAAATAAAATAAATTTGTAAATAATGAATATACAAATATTTAGATACAAGATATTTGTATAATATATCTTAGACTGTGATCAGCATCTTTATCCTGCATAATAATCTCTGTTCAGGCCTTAAAATGATACATTTTAAAAAGAAATCAGTAGTGTGTTCTATCAACTTTATTTTATATTATTTATTTAGTTATTGTCTTTCACACTTGCCCACTTCATATACAGTGCTGTAGTCACTAGATAACCCCTTTAATTAATAAGGTTTCTATTCTTCTGGGACATCCCATAATGGAGTGCCCCACATACGTCACTATTCAAATCCATTTCATGGCATTTTATTTTAGGCTTAAGGGCAAACACACTGTCCAGCATTTGTTTTGGTAGGTTCATGGTAACCGCTTTTGCATTTTTCCAATGCTGAGAGGTCATTTACATTGTGCAACTACTTGCGTATATACTGGAAACATCTGAAAGGCTTGACCTCAAACAGTCACAATTAATCTAATACATTTATTTATTTATAACACATTTTCTAAACACAACATTTGTGTGTGTTGCACAGAGAATTGTGAAGCAATGTATTTCTCCTCGAGCAGTGACACAAATTACTTTCAAAGTATTTTTTACATATTGGGTGCACAATATTTCATCTTGATTGGTACAGTAATTAACCATGAACCATGTTATAGCATCTATATTATGACAGATCACTATAGAACTGTCCTTACCTTACCTGCCATTCGTGCGTCATAATACAGCTGTTATGTTCAGTCATTCAGTACCCCTTTTCATTTTGGCCTCTATCCAGATCTTTTCAACATGTGTTCTTGTGCTTTAATATTTGTTCTTCCTTAATGCAGTAAATGTGTGGTTATGTAACAGTGTCTTTTCTTTTGGTGCTGCCGTAGTGATAGTTACCAAGGACGCAGCTCTCGACTCTTCAGTCTGTCATTACATAATATAGATGTTTTTCTGTCGCCTGGTCTGCAGCACCCCCGGGATACAGTGACAGCTCACAATAACAGTTTCTCCATATAGATCTGTCAGTTCGTATTGATAGCAATTGTAGTTTCACAGTTATAATAAAAATATATAGTAAATTTTAATCATTAACCCTAAATTGGTAGTAGTAACTTTTCAGGTGTGGGGGTTCTATTTTTTTAGTGCTAAAAGTACCTTGAAATTTTGACATGTGGCATCATCTGCTTGTTTCCAAGGAGATGGATAAATTTAATGACATACTGTGGAACATTTCAGGCAAAGCAGTAACTTTAAAGATGCACTGAGTGGAGGGTCCGCCACCTGCTTGTCTCCGTGGAAATGATATTGCTTTTTCCAGAATATTATACAGTATATATTAAACATATGAGCAAAAGAAACACCCACAATGAATAAATAAACATGTTACATATATGTGTAAATGTAATATGTTTAATGTAACACCATGGAACATTCCAGGCAAAGCAATATCATCTCCATGAAGACAAGTAGGTAGCAGGCCCTGCACCAGAAAAGTTGTGCAGTGCACCTTTAAATAACTAAATGGATTCATTCTCTAAACCAAATAACTGCAAATGGGCAACAAAAAGTGGAAGAGATATAATTGGTCTGTAAAGAAAAGCTGCTCCTGACATCTGTTAGGGATTAGTGAGTGTAATAGGCTGCAATGGTCAGGATGTTGGTCAGTGGGGCTATTTGCTGGAGAGCTCAGATAAATACCATGCAGTACTGTGGCTGAGTCCAGGCAGCAGGCGCAATCTGAAACGTCAAGTTGCCTTTTGTGGATTACAAGTTTATTGAAACAAAGGAATAGTATATTTGTATGACTATCTGGAATTACAAGTCACACATTATAGAGTATTTTGTCCAGGATTGACTTTTCCCTCAGAAATGCATGCATATCTATGGTTTATTATTCCCATCATGTATTATGTATGTATGTATGTATATATTATCCCCAAATGTAGTAACGAACCAAAAGAAATATTCTGTAGGCTGTTGGAGATAAGATTCAAATTTATGTAAGCATACAGTATGCTTTGCCACCTCACCACTGAGCCACGGAGCAGTGCACTTATAAATCAGTTGCAATTAGATTGAATAGATACATTAAAAAGCTCATATTACACTTCTGATCTACATTATAATGTTCTTTCCTTATCACAAACATACCAGCAGTTGTGTTTTGTTTGATTCACACACGTTTAACACACAAATCCTGCATATTTAGGCTGAATTCTTCTCTCAAATAGAAAACATTTCTCTTCCACTTTGTGATGTCATGTGGTTCATTTAGATGGTTTCACCTCTGAATTTGTGGAATCCTCTAAATCCATGTTTTTGATGAGGTAACAACATTCTAACATGGCTTAAAGTAAAAAAAAATATATTTAATGTAGGACCTTTAAGGTGATGGAAATTTTGATTAGAAGAGCTTTCTGAATATGTGCACTGAAGCCATCCATCTTTGTTGTTGTTTATGTAAAAGACGAAGAGAGGCTAATGATCTGGGTGAAGAGTAACACACACTGCCGCTCATGCTTCACTTCCTGACTCATGTAGTGTGGTCAGCTGACTCACCTAACAGCAATGAATTCTGGGAAATCCACACATGCCCAGTCTCTTTCTGTGTTAACTTTTGACACCATCTTGCTGTTTCCAGTCACAGTTGAGGAATGCGTATTCTTCCTCATTTCACCTGCCATCACCACAGAGCTCCTGTTTCAACCTTTTACCGAGAGCGCGGGATTTTCCCCGGTCGTGTGTCTCACAGGAAGTACTCAGTGCCATTTTATTCTGGTAATAACGTGATTTGTACAGAAGGCACTTGAGAGCTTTGGTGAATCATAACCAAATCAAGACAGAGGAAAAATACTACCATGTTTCTTTGGTGTCAAAATAAATAAAAAAATTGTCAGCATCACCAGTCTAATACATGTTACAAAAGCAAAGAGCCATCCCTTTTTGTACAGGGTGTTAATTAGCATGGGGATTTTTATGTTATAATTAGAACTAGTAGGCAGAGCTTATACACCAACAAACTTTCATCATTAAGTAAGACTAACTAAGCCATATTTCCTTGGTAATACTATGACGTATTTTATTTTACAAAACAAATTACTATTATAATGATGTGCCGCTTGGGAGTCATGCATCACTTAAAAATATGTTTTTCTCTTTATTTATCTGGGCTTTAGACTGACACAAAATATTTATTATTCATGCGTTTAAGCTTCTTGTTGTATGCAAGCTTTTGAGGTCTTCCAAAGATATAATATTTCATTTTTGATTTTTAATCACTGTGGCAACAGTCCTAATTTTTAAACTTTTTCTATTTTCTTTTTTTTTTGGATAGGCATGTGAGCCATATTGTTTAAAGGTCCTATATTACAAAAAACTGCCGCTTGTGAGCTTTAAGCCATGTTATAATGTTGTTAATTCATCAAAAACATACCTGGAATTGTGTTTCGTAAATGTTTATTATTAGTCTATATCTACAAAGCTCAAAATGCTCTGTTCCACCTTGTGATGTCATGAAGCGGTAGTTTTCAAGTAAACAGCTACCTTTTATCCTTTGTTTAGTGGATTGGAAATTCCATATCTAAAATTGCCTAAATGATTCTAGTGAAGATGTATGGAGTTTAAAACACAGGGGCACTTCCTGTATGACCACATGACATCACAATGAGGAACAGAGAGTTTTCTGTTTGAAAGAAGAACTATGCAGAGTTTGTGTGTTTAACGTGTCAATGAAACAAAAGTCCAGTTATGTTTTTA